CGTGTTTCATTAAAAGATCTTTATCAGGCTTTAATCTTATGAGTGGGAGGTGCCCCCGCATTACACAATAAGAATGTATTATTTTCTGTATTTTTTAAAAAAGGTATGCAACAGAAGAAAATCTTTTTTTTTTTTTTTACCCAAATGTTCATAGCAGCTTTATTCATAATGACTAAAAACTGGAAACACCCCAAATGTCAGTGTCCATCAACAGGTGAATGGACAAACTGTGGTTCATCAATACAGCAGAATACTACTCATAAAATGAACAAACTTCCATTACATGCAACAACTTGGATCATTCTTGCAGATGTTGAATAAATAAAGCCCTACATGAAAAAATACATACAATATAATTCTATTTATATGATATTCTAGAACATGCAAAACTAATCTGTGGTTTTAGACATTAGCACAGTAATTCCCTGTTTCGGGTAGTGAATGGAAGGGGGTGTGAGGGGAATCTTCCAGGTGGGCTGGAAATGTTCTGTTTCTCCATCCAAGTGCTAGTTACATGGGTGTGTTCACTTTCTGAAAATCTACCAACCTGCACACTTACGATCTGTGCTCCTTTCTGCAGAAACATGAACAAATGCCATATAGCACTGGGCCTGATCCACACTGGGCACCTCAGCACCCACACCCTGACATTCCTCCTGGCTCTGGGAGGCACCTGCATGTCAGCAGCCCAACTCCAAGAGCATCTCCTTACTGTGCACACGTTGGTGTGTCTGTAGGTGGACTCTGACTGAACCTTTTCCCGCACACAGCACAGGGATAGGGCTTCTCCCCTGTGTGCACCCTCTGGCGCCTCTTGAGGGCTGAGTGATGCCGAAAACCCCTCCCACAAGCCCCACACTTGTAGGGCCACTCCCCCGTGTGGACTCTCTGGTGGATGTCCAGGTCCTTGCTCCAGCTGAAGCACTTCCCACAGGCCTCACTCCGGAGAGCCTCTCCTCAGTGTGGACACAACGGTGCAGGTAGAGATTGGCTCTCTGACTAAAGCCCTGGCCACATGTGTCACACACATAGGCCTTGTCCCCTGCATGGTCCTACTGGTGTCATAACAGTGCAGAATGTGAGCTGAGGCACAGTTCACATGCTTCACAGGCATGGGCTTCCTTCCTGTGTGGATGCTCTGGTAGATCTGCAGGGCCACCCTGCAGCTGAAGTCCTTGCCATAGTCACAGCACCTGAAGGACTTCTCTCCTGTGTGGATGTGCTGGTGGCTGGAGAGATTGGAGCTATGACTGAAGACCTTCCCACATTCCTCATACATGTGAAGTTTCTTTCTCATGTGATCCTTCTTGAGCCTTCTCAGAGCTGATCCTGAGTTAAAAATTCTGGAACACTCCGTAGACTGGTAGGGCTGTTCTCCTGGGAGGAGCACTGTAAAGTAAAGGCCCGTTTCCTTTCACTGAAAGCTTTTTCACATCCCTCATATAGAGAGGGCTTCTCTCCTGTGGGGGTTTGCTGGTGAATTAGAAGGTTTCTGAGCTGTCCGAAGTCTTGGCCATCCTGGGGACAGCTATAGCCTGGAGATACTCACCAAGAGAAAATCCCATCATTCTCATCCCTGACTCCTGGGGTAAAGAAAATCAGATGACAAAAGTGAGCAGAAGTATTGTCAGAGGCTGCAAGGTACACTGAACACACACTCGGGCAGTATTGATAAGGCAAAGGAGCTTAACTAAATGGAGACGATTTGGACTGCCGGTCTCTGTCCTCCTGTCTTCAAATTTTCACTTGTGCTTCAAGGGGAAGGGGAAGACATTAAGGATCTTTTCCTGAAGAAGAGCTTCTTGGTATTTCCTCCTCCATCCATGTATCCTCTTGTTCATAATGGAAAATCGTTTCTGGTCTGGACAGCAGATGCCCCAATGAGATGCGATTCCTGTAGTTCTCCAACATCACTTCTCTGTATAGGTGCCTCTGAGACGGGTCTAGGTGCTCCCACTCCTCCCAGGTAAAGTCCACAGCCACGTCAATGGATGTCACCAGCTCCTGTAATTTGGGCATTTCCTTCTGTTCCTGAGGAAGGGCAGAGCCCTCGGAAGGCAGCACTGGAACATCTGGAGGGAGTCTCCGGAGGTGTCTTCTCTGCCCAAGATGGAGTTCCTGGGTCCCATCTTCATGTAGTCCTAGCTGCTTTGTTTTCACTGGGGGTCTGGCTGGCAGGAACACAGGGGCCATTTCCTTCTCTTCTCACAGATCTCTGAAGGTCAGCAGATTCCCAAGAGGGCAAAACAGGAAGCTGGGATCAATGAGGACTGAGTCGCATGCCGGCAATCTCCATACCTAGTCTCTGAAGATCCACCCCTACATTTCTAGGTGTCCACCTGGAGGTCTTGGGCACAGAAGCCACCACTGGGCCTTCACTGACTGCCCTCTATCAGGACCAGTCCAGTGCACGGTGCGGTGGAACTGGAAGGCCCAGCTGGATTGTGCCGGGGCTCAAGGACCACAGAAGTAAATCTAATAAAATAATTTTATCAATGTGAAGTAGGCTGATGATGACATTTGTTTTCTGTCATTCACACTTGGGCCCTGCAAAAACACGGATTGTGCCGGGGCTCAAGGACCACAGAAGTAAATCTAATAAAATAATTTTATCAGTGTGAAGTAGGCTGATGATGACATTTGTTTTCTGTCATTCACACTTGGGCCCTGCAAAAACATCATTATTCACACTGTTTTTTGTGCAATGGATAATATATTTAATAATTAACTCTCCACAGTATGTGAAAATTATGCTTCAATGCTAAGTTTTATTTCACATAATAGATTTCATTAATGTGTTTCAGCACACACTATAATTAGTTGATGGGGTTATATTCATAAAGACTTTGATCCAACACAGGATTATGTTCCCTTTAAGACCTTTTCTGTTTGAAATTATCCACTCTGCTGTGCCTAGATTAATCACACACACACACACACACACACACACACACACCTTTTCATTCAGATGATCATAATTTGTGGCTTTCACGAAGTGCTTTCCATTTTAATTTTTATTTTTACTTTGTAGTAGAAAAAATGCCAAAAGATTGGAAGTCGGGTGAGGTTTAGAAATTTTTTAAATTAAATAAAAAGAAATGAACTTTTACACATTCTAACATGGAACATTTTATTCATATAGATATATTGTTATATTATATTAAGATATTCTTATAGAGGACCCATCAAAATATTTTTACCATACAAAAAAATGATGCTAATTAGTATCATTTGAGTTTAATTGATGTTTTATTTCATAATGCAAGGCATGTTTCCTGGTTAAAAAAAAAAAAGGCAGAAAAATCCTTCTCAGTCATTGATACCAAAATTTCCATTATATGTTAATATAGTAGAATGCTCACTAGAAGCCAAATAAACATCTTGAAATATTTTAATAAAACTTATTTTTCTCATCACTCCATGTTACACTTTCACAGATATTAAGACATTTGCCAAGTAAGAGAGAAAATAGTGGAATTGGGGATTTAGCCCCAATGCCCGGCTTATTCTTATGCACAGTACTTTTGTTAGCCATCGTATAATACACGAGAGTCTGTGATGTTTCTTTTGAGTTTATAAATATTATTCCTGAAGTTATCAATTTGTTAGTTACCTCTACCTTTACAGACATTTACATTCATCAAACTCAAATGTCACATAATTTATATCCCTGGGAAGGGAAAAATTTGTCTTTCTCTTTTGCACGTGAGGAAGCCATCCAGTCTGAAAGCTGAGGATCACCTTTGGCCCTTTCCTATGCTCACTATGCACATTCAGTCCTTTGGGAAGTCCTGTCAGCTCACCTTTAAAGGTACTTCACATCCATCCACTTCTGTCCGTCTCCACAAGCCCTACCCTAAGTCAAGCCCAAATCCCACCCCTGACTTGGACTCTTAACTGCGCTCTCCCTTCTACTGTTGATGTCAGGACGTTCTCAGCCAAGTAGCCAGAGTAATTGTGTCAAGTTTAAATCAATTCATATCACTCCCCATTCCCCAAAGCCTCAGTTGCTTCCTAGTACTCTTAAAAATAAAATTGCCATACCCGAACTCTTTGCCCTGATGGCAAGGCCCTGTAAGGCTGGGTCCTCAGTGAAATTTTCAACCTCTGCTTGTGCCGCCCGCTCACCCCCGACTCTCCACTTTTTGTCCACGTGGTCTTCTGCTGATGTCCATGACACACAAGCTCTTAGCAGCTTTCGGGACACTCACTTGGTGTTCCCTCCATCTGGATCGTTCTCCATTACCTTCCGATCCTTCAGTCTCATCTTAATTACCATAATCTAGAGAAGCCTTCCTTAAGAACAAAATCTAAGTAGGGCCTGGCCTTTTATTCTTTACCAAAGCACCCTGTTTATTTCCTTTCTCAACTACAGCACANCTATGCACATTCAGTCCTTTGGGAAGTCCTGTCAGCTCACCTTTAAAGGTACTTCACATCCGTCCACTTCTGTCCATCTCCACAAGCCCTACCCTAAGTCAAGCCCAAATCCCACCCCGACTTGGACTCTTAACTGCGCTCTCCCTTCTACTGTTGATGTCAGGACATTCTCAGCCAAGTAGCCAGAGTAATTGTGTCAAGTTTAAATCAATTCATATCACTCCCCATTCCCCAAAGGCCTCAGTTGCTTCCTAGTGCTCTTAAAAATAAAATTGCCATACCCGAACTCTTCGTCCTGATGGCAAGGCCCTGTAAGGCTGGGTCCTCAGTGAAATTTTCAACCTCTTCTTGTGCCGCCCGCCCACCCCCGACACTCCACTCTCTGTCCACGTGGTCTTCTGCTGATGCCCAGGACACACAAGCTCTTAGCTGCTTCTGGGACACTGCACTTGGTGTTCCCTCTATCTGGATCGTTCTCCATTACCTTCTGATCCTTCAGTCTCACCTTAATTACCATAATCTAGAAAAAAATCTAAGTAAGGCCTGGCCTTTTATTCTTTACCAAAGCACCCTGTTTATTTCCTTTCTCAACTACAGCACAATCAGCAATACTTTTATGTATTCGTTGACTAATTTGCTGTCCACCTCCTACCAATAGAATTTAAGCTCAGCAAGAGCAGGGAAATTTCCAAGTCTCAGTCATCACGGTAAACCCTGTTCCCAACACATTATTTGGAACATAGGGGCCCCTCAGTAAAAATTGAGTGAATGGATAGGTTTTTGTATGATAGACATGTAAAGGCTATAAAAAAAATCTTTAGACACCCATTCTTTCAAATATTTCTAATTCCTTTTGGGAGTTTCAGTAATACACAAGGCAAATTATGAGCCTGAGATAGGACAGAGTTCCACTCTCCTCTAAGACCAGGCTTATGAAAATTGGCTTATAAAATATTCATAGTAAAGCAAAATTCTAGTTAATCTAATTCAGAAGGAAATCTGACATTAGTTTAATTGGTATAAAGTAGTGAATGCCACTTTACAAAGATGCGTTGTTTAAATGGATATCGTTAACATTAATACAATGTTTTCTTTTCTTTTGGTAATTAGTTTCTTGAAGCCTGTGGTTAGGAAATCTTTCAGTTTTGTAATTAGTTTTGTTTTTGTTTGTATTTGGTTTGCTTTTTTCCTGAAGAGAAGAGTTAATTACATTTCACAGTACTTGGGTTAGACAGTACACAATCTCTTGTATCCAACTCTAGATTTAACTCTGCATTTGGATGTTTGTTACTGTACTCCAACTCCTCCTGCTTTGGATTGTTTCAAACTGTGATTTAAGAATAAAAATCTAGTTGACATAAATTCTTTAATAGAGAAAACATACATGTTGGACGTTTAAAACTTTATTCTTAGCAACAGGCATTTATCCTGCTCCTACTGTATGTGTAGTTCTAGCAAAGAGTAAAAATAATACAAACTGGCTGTAGGAAACTAGAGTCTGTTATATCTATATCCTGCTATTTTAATAGGCATCTTCAAAGGGATAACCCCCTAAGAAAATCTTATCTAATCTGAACTGAAACATAAAGGGATTTCTCATAAATCAACTGACTTGCCTTGAAGATATGTCAGAATTATTAAAATAACCTTTTTTTAATGAAATTTTCTATTAAATTACTCCAAAGGAAGTAGAAAGAAGAAATAAAACAATGAAATTAGCCATGCAGGTTGCCACAATTGAGGAAAAAGAAAAAAAATCACTAATTGCACATAGCATCTGTCTTTTACACCATTATTTAAAAACCGGGGACTGCGACTTTGTTCATAGGCCAACAGTAAATACATTGGCTGTAATGTCAACGAACTTTAAAGCAAGCTCACCAACATAGAACTCATTATTCTTTGAGGCACATCACT